GCCGGCGGCGGCTCCTCCATGGCCTTAGCGAGGGCCGGGTTCTCGCTTGCCGCTCGCCGTGCCTGCATCGTGGCACAGGCGGCGCCTGTACCCATGCCGATGTGGCACTGCATCCAGCCTTGTGGGGGCGCTCGTTACCAGGGCTTGTGTAGGGGCATGCGGGCGCCCATCAGTTTTGACGTGTAGGATACTCTCATCCTGCGCCGGTGTGTGGGACAGCCCGCCTTAACCGCCAGCTGGCACGCTCATGTCCCGTACATCATGCCAGTAATCACGGCATCTAACCCGCCCTATCAGATCTGGAGCCTTTGTCTCCTGCTCCGCAAATGGGAGCATCCTGGGAGATGGAATATCACTCAGATATTATGGGATCAAACCCCACCGTGGGGCAGGGGCTTTCAATCTATCGGGCGCCCAGGGTGGAGGAACATCGCGCAATTGTGTGAGCCTAGTTCGAACTTACAACAGCCTGCAGGTTACGATGCCTTGCCTTCAAAACGGACGGCAACTTGGAACGATCCGCCGCTCCGCGGAGTACCCCTAGACGACGCATCTCGACCCTAGGATCAGCAGCAGCAGTAGGAACAGCAGCAGCAGCAGCAACAGCAGCAGCAGCAGCAGCAACAGCAGCAGCAGCAGCAGCAGCATCCCACACGCGTCTTGACACAATCCCGAAACGTTATCCAGGATTTGCATGTATTACCGGGAGTTTCCCAAATGCCGGGTGCTCGTGTGGGCTTTGTTCGCTAATGCAGCCCACCTCTCTACTTTGTTCGCGCCAAAAGACCTTTTAGAGATTCTCGGACAAGCACCCTCTCGCACAGGGGCTGCCTCTAACAGATCGATACTTAGTTAACAGTTTTCCACCATTTTTAAACCCTTGACTGTGAAAGGCCTTAAGCCGAAGTAGAATGAAAGAGTGACTCCATCCTCGGCGTCACCACCTCAGCACGGGGAGCCAGCGAGCGAGCGAGCGAGCGCGAGAGCGAAGGTTTGTGTAAACGCTGCCGGTTCCACCATCTCTTTTTTTCTTTCCCTCTCTCTCCCTCACTTCTTTTTTTCAAATCGCCATCCACGACATTTTTGTACGGATTTTAATGTATGTTTTAAGAGAAGGGAATGCGTGCAACTTTTAGCTTGATTAATTTCCCTCCGGCGCAGGTCTTAAATGGTCGCAGTAGTTCTTGCCTGAGCGTCCTACAGCCGGAGCCAAGGTTTTGTTTAAAGCCATTACGGGATAATTTGGTCGTTATCCACCGGTACTTACAAGAGTGATGGCGGAGTTCTGGTAATGGACACTCCTCCCCACCCCCTCTCCTCTCTCTCTTCTCTCCCCCGTCCCTCCGCTCTTCACTCCCCCTCACCCCTCCCTCCTCGCCCGCCCCTCCCCCTCCCCCCGCCCCTGATTTACGTAGCTCCTTGTGTTGTCTTATGAGGGTCCTTAGGCAGAGTGGGGAAGAGAAGACAAGGGAAATTGTCAAGCCGAGATTAAGGCTTCCATTGGTAGAAACGAATATTTTAACAAAATGGAGTGTCGTTTTTGTCTCGGGTATAAAATACAGACAGATGGATCATTTGATTTATTACTTTTTTTAAGATTTGTTTTATTTATTATTTAAAAAGAAAAATCCTGAATATATATATATATATATATATATATATATATATATATATATATATATATAGAGAGAGAGAGAGAGAGAGAGAGAGAGAGAGAGAGAGAGATAGAGAGAGAGAGACAGATTTCGAGGGGGGGGGGGAATAAAGGGGAAATTCCTCGTAAGATCACGGGGGCGAATGTAGCCTAGAAGGAATGATTTTTTTTTTCTTTTTATTTTACGTAGAAGGAATATGAGTAAGGGAAGCGACGGGAATTCACGAAGCGGAGGTGGCGGCGCTGGCGTGAAGACGAGGCAGGCCCCCGCCGCCTCGCCCGCCCCGCGCCATTGTCATCTGAGGGCCAGAATTACCCAGGGAAATGAGGAAATGAACGAGGATCGGAAATTCTGCACCAGATCATCCTCTTTTTCTTCTTCTTCTTTTTTTTTTTTACTCATTTTGAACGAGAGGCTTTTTATTTTTATCCTGGGGAGGGTGAGAGAGGGAGGGGAAGGAAAGGGGAGAAGGAGGGAAGGGAGAAGGAGGAAGGGAGGGAGAAGGAGCTCCTTCATTTCTTTTTTTTTTCTTGTTGGGAGTTAAATCGGTGCCGGCATTATGGCCGCCGTCCCCCGCGTCACGCCCGCTTGTGACGACTCCCGGTAAGAGACTTAAATTTTCTAATGGTTCCTCAATTCCCATCAGCAACAGTCAAGGGTATTTACATGTGCATTTATAATGTTCTTAAAATCGAAAATACGCGTTCTTCTTATTTTGGGGGATGGGTGGGGGGGCAGGGGGCGTGGGGAGGGAAGGGAAGGGATGAGGGGGGGGAGGGGGCTCTCGCATCGATATCTCGTGAGTGTCATCTTGCTAATGCAGAAATTGCGTCATCGCCTAAATACGAGCTTGTGCAACATCTTATCACGTCCGAATTAATACAGTCTTAACACGTGACTGGCCGCATAGTTTGCTAGTTACATTGAGTCCGCTGTCAGACAAAATATAAAGGTTTAAAAAAAATAAAAATATATATATATTTATACAGTATAGTAATGGTATTATTCATTTTTTTCTTCATTTCATTCATTCTTTCTTCATACTTGATGTCTACGGCCCATTAGGAATAGTGATTATTGTCGACATTATGATAATGGCATTGAATGGGTTTCCAGATGAATGGTGTTAGAGCAGAGCCTGTATAGTGCCTTCCGATGTCGGCATAGAGCAGGTCGGGAGAGGGAGACCCCGGCTCACAGAATACAGGTTTCCACTCGTGTTCAACATATATTGATTCTCTTTCTGTGATAGAGGGTGCGGCCTGGCCCTCCATTCTTTCGTGTCCCGGTCCGTCTTAGTCCCCGAGGCCCCTTTCATACCAGTGCGGCTTCAGACTCATAATAATGATGCGTTTCCATCCGGATTCTTGTCCATCGCGCCCTCTTCACGGATCGGCAGGGAGTCCGGTAGAAGAGAGAGGGAATTAAATCTTGGCGTAAGTCGCGTGTCCATCCGGTGAGGAATCGAAGTGTAGGTGGAGCTGAGGAGTGTCAGTTTCGCGTGAAAATTTCTAAACTAGTTCGATGTTTTAACTTTGAGCATTTATCTTCCATCCTTGAGGAAGACGGAAGTTAATCCGACGAGTATACTTTGTTTGCTTTCCCGAATTAGGTATTTCTACTGATCCGTTGCTTATCAGCTTCCGCCAACGCATGATCCTTCTCCTCCTTCAAGAAGCGACCTCCGAGTCACTCTTGAGTAGAGAATCAGAAGTCTGGGAACGAGCTGAACCCCGGACGAGCTCAGGGCCCCTCCTGGTTCCGTGGGAACCCGTACTCTGGGATCCGGGGGAATTATCCAAATGAAGCAATATTCGTGTTTTCCGGTCGTTTCCCGCCGGCGGAGAGGGTGTTCTAACGCGCCATCATCCCCCGAGGGAGAAGGGCCCAGGGGGGGAGTCCAGAGGGAGTCCAAAGGGAGGAGGGAGCGCAGGATCTAAGGCCAGAAGAGGCTCCGGGGAGAACAGGAGGCTTTGGGGAAGAATGGGAACACGGAGGCTTTGTGGCGGAGACTCGGAAATTGAGATGAAAGAAATACCGTACTTCGAGAATCCGTTTCGCACCTCGGAATGGAAGGTCGACTGTGGCATTCAGAGTCACTTGCTCTCAGTACACTTGCAAATGGCTGACTTTTTTCAAAAATCTTGTATAGATAAAGGAAACGGAATAAAAACGGAATTTTCATTGCCTCCAGTGTTCGATTTACATGAAAGCTGGGCGGAGCTATTTATTATAGGGAATATATACATTAGTACATACGTGTGGGTATTTTTTTCAATTAGTGTTGTCATCGCTCCATAAATATTATAATATTTCAATTCATGTAATTTTTTTCTGTTATGTAAATTCTAAACATGTGAATTTTTTTTATCCCACATTCTATTTTACTGCACATAATAAATGACAGATAGATTAACATTATTTTTTATTGATGTATTGTATATACGGGAAGTTTCACTTTGATCTGTGTGATGGATTTTGTTTTTGTATTTCATGAAACATTGATTATTAGTGTTTTTGTTTCCAATGGTCATTTATTTGATGCGTACATTTACTTATTACCGTTCCCGCCGATGGACTGCGTTTTTAGTGTATTTACGTGAAATAGTTTATGAATAAAGTATACGCAGATATTTTCATGTCGATATAACAGCTGTAGCTCGTAATAAACATATATTTTAATAATAATACCGGTAATGTTGGTACGCGCTTTGGAATAGCAGATTAAACGTGTGGATTATTATTATTTTTATTTTATTCTTTCTACTGATTTATGTAAAAAAAGGTAGAATAAGGATTATATGGATTGAAATAAAGTAGGAGGACAATTGGTAATCGAATTCCTTAAATGTTGAACATGGGCTTGTTTTAAAAAATAATCCAATGGTACCAGTGATGGCCGATTATAAAAAAAATTACCGAATTATAAAAAAAATAGATTGATGGCAGAATCTTGTTCCAATACCCAAAGCTTATGTTCTCCCCCTTCTCCCCCTCTGCCCACGCTTCACACCCACATGCACACCCACACGCACACCCACACGCACACCCACACCCAACACTCTCTCATTCCACCACCCACTCAATCGCACTAACACACCTCAAACGCCCACACCCATACCTGACACATTTATCCAGTAATCCACAAGCCAAACCCACGCCCCCACAGCCCAACACACCTACACCCCCACACCCTACACCTTAACATCTTACACCCCCACACCCCCCACTCCCACACCCCAACCTCCCCACACCCCTCACCCCTCACCCTAACACCCTCCCCAAACGCCCAGATACACCCGAACAGCCCCCACTGACGCCCTTCCCTTGTCTCCTGCAGGCGGCGGAAAAGATGGGCCTGAGCGCGGCCGGCCACGCGAGCGGCTCTCTCTTCTCGCTCTACCACAACGGACAGACGCACCTGGGGCAGCCGCCCCCCGCCCACATGGGCATCTCCCCGTACCAGCTGGATCCCAAGGCCGGTAAGTGAGGCATCGGAGTCCGGTTTAAGGATGGTGATGACTGCCAGGCAGATTTTCCACATGATGTGATTGTTTTATCAATTTAATAGTTAATGATGGTGATGATAACGATGATAATGATAGTACTAAGAATAGTAATGCTAATACTGATATGGATAATAACAGTAAAATAAAGATAAGAACTATTAGTTTTGTTTATTTATTAATTATCATTGGTGTTGTTCTTACAAGGAGCAGTATAACGGTTCAAAATCATTTTCACTGTTATTATCATTATTGTCGCTACGATAATCATCATGATGGGTATTATTATCATCACTGTTAGGATCAAAGGTCTTTCACACATATATGTCATTCTTTTTCCAATCGAAAAAATGTTGCATTATTGTTCCATCCTCTCGTAGTTTTTCACATCAATTACCTTATTACTGTTCTGATTTCCGGAATTGTTCAGGTCCTTTATGGTATAATCTGTTTAAAGTTACCTTGAGTGTCGGGTCCTTTGTGCCTGCTTATCAATCATTTAA